GGAGGCAGGACTGTCACCCTGTCCTGCTCCCCGAGGACAGCCTGGCCCGACACAGCACCCATGGGAGCAGAGGGCTCCACGGTCAGAGGCGTGCAGCTTTCTCATGCGAATTGGGGCTTTTCAGGCTTTGGTGCATCAACAAAAGCCTCCCGAGCTGCTTTCAAGGACATCTGGCCTTCGGATCAGGAAATACCTCCGTGGTCAACTCCACGACCAGCCTCTGGAGCCCTCCCGTCCCCCAGCAAAGGGTCAGCTCCATCTAGAAGGCTCAGGAATATTCACAGGCAGCCTCTAACCCAGCTAAGGGGTCTCTGCTAAACGTATCGCAGCCCGCGACCACCCTCCTCTGCAGGCTCGCTGCGCGCACGACGCGGAAACTCACGTTCTCGTCAAAGTCCATGTAGTTGGAGACCACGTTGACGTTGGAGTGGAAGACCTTGGCCTGACGGATAATCTCCTCAAGGATGTCACCCACGCCAGCGGAGAAGATGAAGAGGGGGACGTTGTGCTTATGCAGCTGATCAAATAACTCATGGAATCCATCCCTAGAGCAGAGGTGTCCGTTACACGGTGTCGCATCCGCGCCTCCCTGTACCATGGGCCGTGAGCGCTCTCAGCCCACGTGCAGGGAGCTCTGCCCATCGCCCGGCCCCTCGGCGGCTCCTTGCCGAGGCTCCGGGGAGGCGGAAGCGGTTTCTGAGCAGGAAGGGGTCAGCCGGGAACAGGGCAGCTCAGGCTGCAGCTCCTGGCGCTGACTTTTGGCAATTTCACGGTTAGAGCAGGGCCCCAGGAAGGGAGATTTGCATCTGCCACACTCTGCAGGCTGCGTGCAGATCGGGGCGAACGCAAGGAGACTGGCTTGCAGAGCAGCAGGAGGGAAAGGGCTGCAGGCAGAGGAGCCGCGAGCCCTACCTCAGCATCACGTCCGACTCTCTGACGATCTCGGCTATGTCACCCTTGTGGATCTTCTGCTGCGACAGCAGCTCATGGGCCCTGGTCCACCTAGGGAAGGAGAGCAGAGTGAGCTTCCCAGGCAGCAACCTTAAAGCAGCCAGAAAAATAACAACTAAAACTTCCTGGCATCGCCGCCAAGCCTAGAGACAGTTCCAGCCTCGTGCCTTGTAGCGCTCAGGGGCAAGAGCTGCCAGGACGAGGTCGAGCTCGGCACACGCACACTCACCACTCCACCATGAGCGGCCGCTTCTCCTCCAGGGTCCGGTTGGGATCGATTTCAATGGGGTAGTAGTAGTGCAGCAGATCTTTCAGCTGGAGTGTTGTACAGGGGGAAAAAGAGCAGAGTGACCATCACGTCCAAAGAGACTGTAAACGTGCAAACAGCTTTTATAGATTCCCCCCAAAACACAACCCAAACCACTTCATTAAGCAGCTTCACCCTGAGCAAATCCGGAGACCTGGAAGGAAGCGCGGACCCTCCGGCAGCCTGGCTGACCCCCACCCCGCTTCAAACACCGCGGGCAGGGATGCACACCCAGGCACCCGTCCTCTTCTTATCAGACCAAAAATGCCCACAGCTGAGCATGCAAATTAAATTTCCCTTTTTAACGACTCCTTCCATCACCATCGGCTGAAATGCCACCTGGGGGCTTGCCTCGCTCTGTCCCGGCAGCAGGGTCAGCTTCCACCCGTCACCTGAGCCAGTACAACCCCCCGATGGGTGACAGGGACGAGAACACAGAGCCAAGCAGCAGTGCCTTACAAAACAGCGCCTACCTGCTGCTTGCCCTCCTCGCTGATGACACGGCTGTTATCCAGGATATCTGTAAAGACAAGAGCAAGCCAGTGTTGTAGCCCAGAAACATAAACCAGCTTTCCAAAGGGCAGCTAATCCCGACCGGGGCGGCCGGTGCCAGCTGTTCCCCAAAACGAGCCGTGTGGGGCACACCGACCCCAGCACAGGCTGGCCCCAGGGCTCGCTCCCACTGTGAACCGCAGCACGCGCTGATCGTGGGGCATTGCTCCGCTGGGAGAGCAGCGGCAACGCCAGCAAGCTGCGGGATGCAAATACGAGAAAGAGAAGCAGCAAGAGCAGGAGACGGCTTCTGCAGCGGGCTGGGGGCTGCTGGGGGCCAGCAGCTGCTGCTGCAAGTGGTCAAAGCCCAGAACAGGACAGAGCGGCCAAGCCCGGCGAGGGGGGGAGGGGGGTGGAGGGTAACAGGAGCCAAAGACTGAGAACACAAACACAGAAAACAAACAGAATTAGCAACAGTGCAAACAACGGCTCCAACTCACTGTGCGAAGTGGGGCAGCGCCTGCCGTTGCACCCGAACCTGCTCAGCGTCATGTCGAAGTCAGAAATGACCTGGAAGGCGAGAGAAGACCAAATCTGCCCGTGACACAGCGCACTCCACCTTTGCCAGAGCTGGGCAAGGTGCTGCTGCCTGCAAAGGACGCAAACCCAGCGCAGGCGCCTCCCACGTGAGAGCACAGACCGCAGTGGGGCACAGCAGCAGCGCCGCTGCTCCTACCAGCCGTGGAGCAGATGTCCCCATCTGAGGCAGCCAGCACCCCTCCCGCCCCGGCACTCTTATCAGCACCAAATGGCTTAATCCTGCTGACTTATTGCCGCGGGTGGAGGGGGGTTTCTGGGGATTGGCTCGTATTTATAGCTTGCATAACAGGGAGCAAAAAGGCCCCTCCAGGGAGAGCCACCAGCCTGGTCCCCTCCTCTCGTCTGGGGCTTCTCCCTCTCCATCTGCAAAACGGGTG